GTCGGGGGGACCGGGCTGGGTCCCTTCCCCTGTGAACTGACAGAGTTTTGTCCCCCCGGGGGTAAAGGGTGAGGGGGGAGCGCTCCCTCAGCCCTGAGGAGGTGTTGGGGGGTGGCCCCGGAGGACAGGCTGCGGCTAGAAAAGTTGAGGGGGTCTCTCCTCGTTTTTTTTCCTGCTGTGAATCACTGGGAAGCTCATTTCCTGAAAGGTGGATGTGGAATTATTAACGTGTGCAGGAGGTGTACGGCTGGGGTTGTGTTGTGGCGTGTAGTTTCGGTTTGTCATCTGCTGAGTAGGCTTTATGGAGCGATAAACCTCTGTACCTGGCAAAAATGCTCATTATGGAGTAAATCTTATAAGTAACGATGGATTTATAACACCTGTCTCCTTACAGTAAGGCCTTAATGAGAGCTGTAGCTATAAAGCACACGCTGACACTCCTATCCTTGCTTATAAGGTCTTTTAAATTTAATTGTGCGCGCACTTTAATTCTGAATGTCCCGATTCTGTCCCTTAGTGCAAATCCAACAAAATATTTTTGTTTTGTAGCATCCAGCCCCACCTCAGATCTCCTGTTCCAGCTGATTTCCTAACATCCACTATGCTGGCAACATCCCACCAGAAACCAAAGTTCCTAGCTATGTGGGGTCAGGTAAGCGGATGTCTTTACAATATTGTGCAGTTATGCAAAGTTATTAAAACTGGAATTTCTGTTTGATGGTATATCAGACAACTCTGCAAAACCACACAATATTGATAAAATCCAAAACCAAGAAACCCCCCCTTACCTGACCCCGATCCCCTCCCTCTCTCCTCTGCAATAAATCAGTGCAAGTGTACTTTGCTTGACAGAAGGAATTGATCTCTGCTCGTCTGAAGCTCGGGCAGGCTTATAGTGGCTTTTTGTTGCCCTTATGGGCCACTGGGGAGGGGGGGAAGAAAGCCCCCTCTCACAAAGCTTTTACTTGTATGAACAGTTCCATTGAAGCCAAGGTTATTTGTGCAAGTAATAGTAGTGTAATGTAGCAGAGAGCAGGCAGCGCTCCCTCCTCCTGGAAACAATAAACTTGAATGAGCTTGACAACATCAGCTGTAGAATTCAGATTCAATTTTGTGATGTATAGGGAAGAAGATGCTAAATAGAAACAATAATTGGTTCTGGCGTTGAACTCCAAAATGTGTCTGTGTGTGTGTCATAGTAGTTTTGTGTAGTGCTCAGTGGTTCATCTAAAACCAAACTGGGTGAGTGCGTACAGTGAAATATTCATAGGCAACTCTGGTCTCCAGGTACCAGACCTGCTGAGGGGAAAAGAGGACACTGAGGGGGACAGGTGGATCACCCTGCTTACAGTGCAAACTGCTGTTGTGGCTTTTAACAATTTGCAAAAAGATAAAGATGTTGCAGGCCTTAATAAAAGCACGGCTTTGGAAATGAACATTTAACGCGTGTAAGCATGTGTTCTGGAGAATGGCCCTAGTTGGGGGGAATAAAGAGTGCACTCTGTTACAATCCGCAAAAATGTATAGACTCTTGGGAAAAGATTCCAGTGTGAGGCTGCTCTAGCAGTTAAGAGAAGGAAAAAATCCACCTGTAGTCTCTCAGAAGTTGTTCCTGTAGATGTGCAGATGGGGAAAAATTGACAGTCACCTACTCTGAACAGTCCAGGGGTTTGTACACCCCCACAGACAAACGCACTTTTTGGTATGGCCCACGGAAGGTGACGCCTGCAGTTTGGCAGTGTTTGTTTGGGAAATTGGTCAAAAACGCAACTACCAGCCTTGTTTCATAACACCGTTATTATCCTGATAGCAAAGTAAACTGTGTGATTTACCGGTGGTATTTTTATTTCAGAACACAAAGTAATCATTGTGGGTCTGGATAATGCCGGAAAAACGACGATTCTTTATCAGTTGTAAGTATGAATGGTAGAAGACGTTTCACATTTTTTAAGTGTGCATTGTATATCTCGCTCCAGCTTATTGATGCTTCCCGCGTTAGTTTGTACTTTGAGAACTTTATGCTGAAGACCACTGAACAGTATGGGTGGCAGTGGGTCAAAGCGTGTGTTTAGAGCCTGGAAAGGTCTGTATTTTGCCTGGTGTAGGAATAAGGTTTTGTTGAGGGATTTTACTTATCAGATTACATAGTTATTACCACTTAATCACAACTGCTTCTGGTGTCATCGCGTAGTCTGTTTACCAGCTCCATAAGGTGTGATTATATTGAGGGTTAGCCGCAGAACACCACTGCTAAACTGATCCGCGCCGCAGCGCGTAAGTACTAAACAAATTGTTCTGTGAGTAGCAAAGCAGTGAAGCCTGACCTCTCCCAGCTGTGAGCTGTGTCCTGCATCCCAAGATGTACTTTCATGTCGTTTGTAGCACGGGATGAAGGAGGAAGGCTGAGCGCTGGCTGAACCCAGCCACAGTGGTGCTGGCCAGGGCTTTGTTTGAGCCGCCAGCTTTTGTAGCTGTCGTGCAGCTTCTGGCATTGACTCATGTTTGTCTTGTGTTAACCTTGCTACTGGTTTACATAAAACTTGCAAGAGCTTCGTATCTCTGGTCCGTGACTGCGTTTTGATAAAAGGGTACAAATGTGGCCACAGACTCGAAGCTCCTAGGTGGGACAGGCAACTCAAGGTCTGTTTCTGATGGAAACAGATGTGCAATTTCTCATGTGAAGTAGTCTGGCGTTAGGAAATATTCCTGAGTCAGAAATAGTTCCTGTTAAGTGATACGGCCAAACTGGTCCAATCCTACACGTAAAATACGCTTTCTTAAAATGCTTGAGTTTTGTCAAATTATTGTCAGCTTTTGCCTTTCTGAAATGTGAAACTCATGCAGTGTTTCCAGCCACTTATGCCCTAGCACATGCTGCAGAGAAAGTGAAAAGGTGAGGGTGGTAGTTGTTATTTCGATTTGGAGTGAGAGATTTTTAAAAGCATAAATAGAATGAAGAATATTTTTCAGACTAGTAACTGCTGCAGCTGAGGGCTGTCCTTGGTGCATTTTAATGCTGTCCGTGTCTTTCCACTTCCTCCCCAAACATCTCATGATTCCTCTCATCTTCTTATTTCTGCAGTCTCAGTGTTTTCTTTTCCCTTTTGTGCAGTGGATCTCTATACGCCTCCTTTTTCTTTCTACCGCAGGACTTCCCCTTCTCTCTTTGCGTATTCCTCTTCCCTGCTTTGCCAGAGCTCCGTGCTGGTACTGTCCTGTTCCTCCTGCTCGACTCCTCTTTAAACCCTGCCTCCATCTGTGCATATCCCGTTTTTTCTCTTACCATTTGCCCATGGTAGATGAGTGTTCTGAGCATGAATGGATACATTTAACTCTTTTCAAAAGCGAAGGGCAGAGACGTCTCGGAGGAGCGTGTTGATTAGTGCGTTGGCCATTACTTTGATCTTCTAACAGATCGTGGCAGTTCCACAGACACTTCACGTCTTCCTGTTTTTCTTCTCCCTCCCCTCAGGCAGCAGCAGGATTTTGTGCTTAGGTGTCTGGAAATGCCATCCAGCTTTGTGCTCACCTGGTGTCAGTGGGGAGGAGGGAAAAAGGCACCTATCGTATTGCAAACGGCGCGATGCAGCAGCTCCGATGTGAAAGGCTGCGGGGTCAGCCAAGGACAGGGCATTTGTGATAGGTCTCTCCCAAGCATTAAAAGAACTCTGCTAAAATGTGTTTTTTAAATATGAAATCAGCCATAGGCATCTTCTTATTATTATCCTTAATTTGTTTTTATGGTTCTTTCTTCTAATCCTTCTCTCCCCCTTATATAGTTACCTGCAAGTGTGTGTGGTGAGAAGGTTTCTCGTTGTGTGCTGCTGAGACACGGGGTAATGGGGACTCCTTTTCAAACACCCAACCATCCCTTTATCTCCTCGGTTCTCTGTATCTTCAGGAAATATTCCAGCACTGTTACAAGTCTCAAATTGCTGTTGCTGTTAGTGGTCCGTACTGGAAGGAGCGTGAGCTGTAGTGTGGCTGGTGGAGCTGGATGATGAGCTCTTGTTTGTCTGCAACCTTGGAAATCTTGTGGCTTAACCACATTCTTGAAGAAAAACAACTGCTCTCTCCCATGCATGCCAAAATCGGTCTGGAAAAAAGAAAAGCTGGCTGCTGAAAACAGCTTCTGAAGCAAATGTTCTCTCAGCTTCATGATTTGATTAATTATAATACAGTTTTGTTCATGAATGCTCTCTCAGCTTTATAATTCGATTATTATATAGTTCACTGATCCTTTTTTTATTGCTATTTTTATTTATTCTTGGTTTTATTTTTATTTGCCCTCCACCATCAAACCTTGTCTCTATTTGACGCATAAGGAGCATTTGCTAAAATTCCCTGACTAAGCTTTCTACCTCAGAATACCCATCAACTTTAGTTTTTCTGGAAGTAGGTCAGTTTGGAGTAATGCAGGTAACTTGCCTGTTTGTGCAGTTTCTCACGGCGTGGCTCTCTCCCCTCTGCAGCTCCATGAACGAAGTGGTGCACACCTCGCCCACCATCGGCAGTAACGTGGAGGAGATCGTGGTGAACAACACGCGCTTCCTCATGTGGGATATCGGAGGGCAGGAGTCTCTCCGGTCCTCGTGGAACACCTACTACACAAACACCGAGGTGAGAACGTGCGCCGTGCTGGAAGGCTCGGTGTGACCCTTGCTGGTGGGGGGAACACGACGTACCCGAGATCCAGACGTGCATCCAGAGGGCTGTGTTACTGTGGCTGCTTCAGGGTACTCCTGTTCTGATTTTTGCAGTCTCCTCCTTAGCAAGCTGCTGTGTGGCTCATATTTCTTATGTAAGATGCATAATGTGGAGTTGCAATTCAAAGCAACTTGTTTGTAAGGACTCTGTGGGTATCTGTGGGCTTAGGGCAAGTGCCCAGTTTGTCTTGGCGTTGCAGATCCCTGTGTTTACACCATGACTGCTCTCTGTAGCAGGTACTCTAAAACCTGTGTAACCCCTCAGGACTCAGACTGAAAGCCGAGAAGCTTTCCTGTGGAAGCTCAGCCTTGCAAGCTTCCCTGATCAATTTACTTAAGCACCCCCAAGAATTTTAAGAATTAAAATTATCTCTAATAATTTTTAATAGTAATATCTTTAATAAATTATCTTTAGCAATTAAGTCGCAGCGCGTATACTGACTTGATTAAAATAATGATTTAAGTCAAGGTTTTCTATGTGTTACCATGTGTGGTTTTAAAAAAAAGTTATTTTTTTGATAATAATTAACTTTGTTCTCCTGTGCTTCCCTATAAGAAGCTATGACGTGTGTCTGCATGTCTGCTCTTGAAGTATGGAGCTTGTGGGGTTTTTTAAATCCCTTGCAAATATCTCTTTGCATGTTAGCATTTGAAGTAGAGGGAGAAAGCTGTTACAGTTTACCTTTTTAAGGCTACAAGAAATTATCTGGGGGATCTGTGTTGTTACATCTCAGTTATGCTAAGCAAAGAACAAAACCAGATGTGGGATTACAGAGAAACAATATAAATTTTTCACTTTAAATTGGAAAATGGAAAGCCAAGAGATGTGTCAGAGCTGCTTTTGTGTACAAACAACAGCATAAGCTGGAAACCATACCGGTGCTGCGGGTAGTTGCACTCTGGCGGGGAGAGGTTTACCTGGAATAGGATGATACCCGAGAATCCCACTGACTGTCTGGGGAATGTGGTGGGAACAGTAATGTGTTCTGCGACAAGTGTGTGGCCAAAAGGGTAGCGTTTGTTCTCTGACTGATAACTTTTCACTTTTTGAAGTTTGTGATAGTTGTTGTGGACAGCACAGACCGAGAGAGAATTTCGGTGACTAAAGAAGAACTTTATAAAATGTTGGCACATGAGGTGAGTAGACCCTATGTCGTCTTTGTTTTAATATTTACTGTGGCTAAAGTCTGGATGATGCATGTTAAGGGAAGCTGATTTGCATGCTGTTTGTGAGAGTTCTCATGCCTGCTAGCTGGAGACAGAGCAGGATGGAGAGAGGCCTCTCCGGTGAAGCCCAAGGCAAACTTCAGCATGTTCTCCCAGCTGCAGGCAGGACTGTGGCAGAGCTCTCTTGTTCCTGCTAGAGGCTCTGGCTTTTATGAAGCTCCCAAAAAAGCTGTAAATTAATACCAAATTGCTGAAGAGAACTCCCACAAAAGTAGCTTTTCAACTTCTGAGTGCTCCAGGGAAACAGAAGTTGGGACCTATAAATCACTTTAGTGGTTTTTATACTGCAATCCCTTTTAATAGAGATCTTTTTAAATAAACATTGTTTCCTCCAACAATTTAATTACTGTTTTTGACAGCTTCATGGTTGCTTGATGTTTTCTGCTTTCACAGCGAAACAGATACAGCCTTGTTAATTTGTCTTATAGCAACCAGCTAGAAAACTGAAGAAACAGGCTGCCTGTGGCTACAGTAGCCGTGATTCCACGTGTGCTCGGAATTACAGAACCAGAGCATCATTTGCTAACTTGTAAAGACCCTTTTAAAGTTGAGCCCCGTGTCAGGTCTAAAGCTGAGCTACCTGGGTCTGGTTTGGAAATGCAGGAGTGCTGCATAAGCCAGGGAGTACCTACGGCCTGACCCGAATGTCCCCAAGCCTTTACCCTCCCTGTGTGGGGCAGTGGGGACAGAGCCCCCATTTCCGCTGAAGATGTCTTTACATAAGCTTGACTGCTGCTAGGACTCAAAGCTTGATGCAAACTGGATCAGTCTGTGTGAAATGACACTGAGGACACTGAGCTTCCGAGTTTAAGTGTCACAATACAAAGATATGCATAAAATTCATGGCATTATATCCTAGAATATGACATCTATATTTAACCTGTACCTGCTGTCTAGTGGATGGCTGCAGGAAGGGCAAAGACTGCTTGTGTGTTTCCTTTGAGTGATCCTGGTAATCTGAAGCGTTTGAGGAAAAAAAACAAGTGCTTTGCCTAGTGTCTTGGATTTCTAATTTTTGGTATTTAAATTTAAATTGTGTTTAATAAATTCTAACAGGTATGGCATTCTTGGTTGTGGTGGGGTGTTAAATGTGGCACGGGGAGACTGTTACCATTGGGTCTGCTGCTCTCGTAATTAGAATTTCAGAGATGTACTCCTCAGTCTGTTGCAATCACTAAACAAAATCTGCATCTTCTGTTTCGTAATCTGTAAGAGGAAGGTGCAGAAGTTGTTAACAAACTGAATTTGAAATGAGGGAAGTCCGGAATTCTGAGCAGCGTGAATGCCCTTGTTTCGTGTTGGGAGACTATTGCTGTGCTCTGACAGCACCCATCCCACTAACAGTCAGTGTGCCCATTGTTTTACACAGGATGTCTCCAGTGTACGCTGCTAACTCTCCAGATGCTCTGATGTTTGAAGAGAACAATACATATAAGCTGAAATGAAAGGCAAATATTTATTTAGACTAGCTTTTCCTTGCAGTCCCTGAGAATCTTTTATTTCTGATAACCAGTTCAATTGAATTTTTGTTAAGGCTTGAGTTGCCCAGGTCATTTCCAGCTATTTTCTGGACCAGTAGATTGTTTGGGAATTAATTTTACTGCTTGTAAAAATTAGTGTGCCTGATAGGCGTTTAAGGGAATGAGTTCTCTTGGCTTCCTGGGAAGACCTTTATACTTTCAGAGGGACAGATGTTCGATAATAGGTGCCTGTACTAGTCTAACTCCAGGTGGCTTGAGAGAAAATAAGCTTGCTCAAAGAGTTGCTGTTCTCTAAATCATTGATACTGATGTTTTAAATATTGCACGGCCCTTACAAAGACATTTATTGTAACATGCTTGTTCATGTCCATGGCCATCCTTTGCTTCTAATGTAGTGTGATTATTTTCTACAAATCCTGTCAATCCTCTAAATAAATATTCTTGCAGCTTGCTTTGTGCAGTCGGTGGCAGTCTGGATGCTTGTTAATGGCTGGGATTTCCCTCGCAGAGGGCTGCTACGCAGGCAGGATGTCCTTCTGGCTCTGGAGAGCCACGGTGCCAGGCTGGGTGCCCACATGCATGCTTCCAGCAGTGGGGCTTGGCAAGGCTTTACCAGTGCTTGAAAAGTTCTGGAGGGGTAACCCGCTCTTGCCCCATTTAAGACCTGCTGCGTGGTCTACTCATTTGGTACCAACATCAGTCTCAGCAGCGTGGTGATACCTAAAAACGAGGTGTGTGTATGAAAGGCAGGCTCAGGAGATGCGGTGGCTGGTTTGGATCCAGGGAGGGACCTGTAAGGTCAGGGTTAAACAGGAGGTCTTGGCTGCGTTATTGCAGCTGTGCAGGTCCAGAGATACAGCACGCCTCTGATCTTCACGGAGCGCTGCAAAACATTGCACCTGGTTTTACAGAGCATCCCAGGCAAAAATTGGACGTTTGGTCTGCTGGATCAAAAGATTTTCTGACGCTACGTGTGAATCAGCCTGCAGCAGTTTATAGTTCAGGGTTTTTTGCTGGGGCTGAAGGTTCTCGGCTTTGGTATCACATCTTTTGCCTCCGAGGGCTGATTTGTAATCATCGTCTTTGTTCTTCTTTCTCTCTAGGACTTAAAAAAAGCAGGTTTGCTGATCTTTGCTAACAAGCAAGATGTTAAAGAGTGTATGACAGTAGCGGAAATATCTCAGTTTCTGAAACTGACTTCAATTAAGGATCACCAGTGGCACATTCAGGCGTGCTGTGCTCTAACTGGAGAGGGGTAAGAGTTGTTCTTGTCTGTAGGAGAGGAATCTTGAAGTATTTTAGTATTTTTATTGTGGTGTTTAGTTTTAACGCCAATAATAATCTTACACTTAAAGGTTTTGGGGCTCAGAACATAGTGACTTAGGATCAGTGTGACCTGAAAATCAACTTTCACATCAAAGCCTCAGTTTCACCTCACAGGCATGGTGGGAACGACCTAAGATCTGTTCTGGTTTGTTAAGAACAATAATAATTAGAGATAATGTCAGTGCGTGTCATGAAGTGCTGAGATGTGAAGTCACTCACCTCTAGATTGCGTAGTAAGGTGGAGGAAATCCTGCACTCGGAGTGAATTGTTTTCTGGAAATGGTTCCTTCAGTTGGAATTACAGAGTTCAAATTGGTGCCATGGAATTATTTTTGAATTTATCCTGAGAAGAGCATGTATTCCTTAAAAAAATCTCTCTTTTGTTTACAGACTCTGCCAAGGACTCGAATGGATGATGTCAAGACTTAAGATCAGATGATTTTTAATGACCTCTTTGCACACACGTTGCTTACGAAGAGCTGTACCCATGAGTACCTTCACAGTGGCAGAATTAATGGGTTAGATGTATTTATACTGAACCGATTTCGACTTTATTTTCTACATAGATGCACACACACATACGTGTATATAAATTAAGACCATTCGGCAAAAGGAAAGATGCAGTGGAGGCTCCAGTTTGGTTTCCTGTTTGTTTTCCTCTGAGGATGCGTCTAAAAGCTGTGATCAACCTTCTTTTCAAGATACAGCCACTCGGAACAGTCCAGTGCTGAGCGTGGTGAAGATGAAGTGAGAGGAAGAAGCTTTTAATTTTGAGTTTTATTATTCCATTGTAGTCCTCTCTAGTTGCAGATGTCGGCTTCATTATTCCAGTAAATTAGCAAAAAAATCAATGGCATAGATATCAACTTTCCAGTATTTTTAAGGTTACCGATGTTACAAATGCAAAAATATTTTCCTGTATGTGTACTGTATATAGTTGTGTATATTTATACCTCAAGTTTAGGTTGATTGCAATCTGTTCAGACCAGTGTGTAAAGCGGAATCAGTATGTCGATGACAGCAGTACTAATATTTGACATGGCCAACATGTCACAACTTCTTTTCCCGTGTGATCTGTGTGGCTGTCACGCCAGTCAGACAGTTGGCTCACCACACCTTTATAAAGCAAACTCTCTCTTAGGACTGTCACTTGTTTCTCACGTGATTTTTCAGTTAGGGAGGATGCCGTGATGGATTGGGGCATATGGATTGAACTTCAAATTACAGTGTCGGCAAACAGTAAAAATTTGCCAAAGAGTTTAAAATGGAGTTGATTTTCTTTTTTATTGTAGTCATCATCGGATTAGGATTCCAAAAAGTGCGTGTCCTGCCGTCCTGTGGTACTGCTTTTCTTTTTTTGCAGTACTGTTCATTTATGATTCACATCTAGTACAAGTACCTTTAGCTGTCATAAAGGGAAAAATGTCTTTTTTTTTTTTTTTCTTAACCAAAGAGGAGGCACAAAAGTATGTTTAAAAATCCCACTGGAATCTTGCAAAACAAGTCATACTGTATTAAGTGGTTTTCAGAGGAAGGCACGCTTCTCTTGGAGAGCATTAAATATCTATATGCAATGGAGGGAACTGGGATGGGGAAGGGAAAAAAAAACAGATGACACTACTTGAAAAGCTGTAAGTGGCCCCTTGATCATGTTCCCACAGAAGTCCCAGGGCAGTACTTCTTGAATATTTAACTCCCTTGCATGGTCCCCAGGTGAGTTATAGAGCAGTGTCAGAACACTATGCGATGACCTTGTCGTACTGTGGCACCTGGTGGGACAGACAGACAGCTGGATGGCCCGTACAGAAGTTGTTCAGCATTACCACTTTAAAGGATGCGGGCTTCTCAGTGGGGTGAGGGATGGTTTGAAATGTTGTCAGTATTGTGCAAGTGTACGTAGCCTGAATCATGGGCTTTCATGTTGGAAATGTATGCTGGGGGAGTATAGTGAGATGAAATAAAACTGTGGTTAAAATGCCCTTCCCTTTCTTAGCTCATGCATCTGATGGAAGAGACTTTTTTTTTAAAAAAAAAAACCAAAACTTAGTTGGAACTTTTTAAGGTGCTTAGCTTTGGTATGGGATAATCGAGTCGGCGCACCTGCCTTCCCGCTTGCCTGCTTCACTGGGGATCATGTGAATTTGTGGGGAGAAGAAGGGAGGCAATTTCAAAAGTCTGTATTTAACAAAGGCAGGTAAAAATTTAACTTTTTAATATATTTTTGGTATCTCTCTATGATGCTCACTGCCTAGGGAACATGTTGTCTTTTTTAAACATTTTAATGTGTACATGCATATATTTACAGGGCATGCACAAAGCTATTGGTATTTAACTGGTGTATTGCGACCTGTAGAGCTGTTTGAAGAAATAACAATTTAATGCAAAGACTTTCTCAGTTTATCTGATAGTACCTTCAAGAAACGAGCTCTGTGCGCTCTGGCCTATGAAATGGAATTGTATGTTTTCTAGTCTTAAAAAAGAAAAAGCAGACTTGCTTATAAACCGAAGTGTTTGGGTTTTGAGTCATGTATCTTCCCTTTCATCCCTTTACAGTATTTTGCTTTAGTGTTGTTAAATACTGCGTACTTTTGCCTCAGTCTGCACAGGCTGTGTGTGTTGGGTTTTTGTTTATTTTTAAGATGACGAGCTGTTCCCTGTTAATGAAGGAAAAATCATGGAGAGTATTTTAAAATCTGCTTGTTGCTGAAATTTGCTGCTTGCTCCTTCGTTAAAATTTGTAGGACTTAGCACGTCCATGTGGTGAAGGTGTGGTGGTTTTTCCAGGCGAGGCTGATGTTGCAGCCAGACATCCGATGTTTACACATCAGTAAACTTGATGTTTACTTTTTTTCCCCTTTCCCTATCCTTGCCACTTCCACTTTCTGTGGCCTCTGGATTTGCAGTCTCTGAGGGTGATGGACGTTGTCTAAGGTAGCTGGGAAGTTCCTTGTCACCCCGTTGTAAACAGAGGCGGTGATTCCACGATCTTCCCTGGCGGGGCTGGCGTGATTGTGCTTTTAGGTGCAGCAAAGCATCGGGAAAGCAGAATGGTGTCCTCCAGACGTTGCTGGAAGCTGTTGTAGGAAAGTTTGTCTTCCTGGAGATTCTCCATGAGAACAAGGGTGTTTGCTCAGAGGAGAAGATTAGAAGAATCCGCAAGTACTGACTCTCCTGGCGGTGCTGTGGCTGTGACAATCCTTTCCTGCACACCTTGCCTCCTGTGTGCTGTTAGAAACGTTTTTAAATTCACTTAGTAGAGCTGGAGAAGCGCAGAGAAACTCTTCAATACAAACCCCCTTTTTGTATGTGCTGCTTGTTTACAGCTTTGTTTTCTTTTCCCTGTAGGACAATTCGCATTTTTCTCCCAACTCTGTCCATAGAAAAGCAAGTGAACTTTGCGTCCATGCTGCTTTCAGCTTCACTGGGTTATTGTTGGGAAGCGATTGTCTTAACATGAGTCATGACCTGGACTTGTATGGCTTTTGTGTTTTCTCCCTCTGGGTGTTGCGGTCCCTTGGCTTCCAGCTGAAGCTGGAGGTTGCTTTGCCTTTGTTCTTCAGGAACTTTATTCTTAGGATGTTATAGAGAAAAAGAGATGGGGCTTAAAAAACGGTTATTGGAGTTTTACTAGCAAAAACCACAGCAGTAACATTTCAGTAATCTCATGCTTAAAACGTTTCTTTTGGTTTAGCAAATAATAAACTTGGTTAATCAGCTCTACAATACGCTGCCTCTGTGATCTGAAAATTACGCAGGTTTTAACTGAGGAAAGGTGGGACATAGAACTTGGAAAATGTGAACAGGGATCTACCTAGCTTCATTTTTTTTTTTCTCTTTTTTTCAGGGAGGCCTAACAGCTGTTTTCCTGTGCGTTATGTGGTATGTTCTGGGTGTACATGTGCTTGTGTGAATGTTAAACGTTTCCCATGGGCACCTTCTCCAGTCTGCAGCGCAAGTGCCTAAAACTAACTCAGTGATCGGGTTTTTTTTTCCCCTATGCTACAGTTTCCATTTTCCTTAAAATATAAATATTTCTATAAAATAATTTAAATATGTGTAAACTAGTGGGTTTTTCCCCTCCCTACACACCGGTTTTAACATGATTTATGATAAATTTCTTTGTTGCGGTTTCTTCTGCCCTCTCCATTCCAAGCACTTTTCCATTTGTCAGCCAGCCCCCAGCTAGCTGGCTTTGTGGGAGGAAGCATGACGTTTGTCCTTGGATCAGATGGAATTATTTTCAAGGAACTCTACTGAAATAACTTAATCCAAGAATATTTGGCCTTGTGAGCATCCTCATGTAAGTAGTTCCTCTTTAATTGGCTGGTAAAACATCAATTTTGCTGCTGTCGGATGAATTATGTCTGAAAAATAGTTTTTCAGCGAATTCCAGTGAATGTAGTTGAAGCCTTTAAATGATGCATCACTGAGCGTTACAGGACACGAAGGATGTCATGTCCTGAAGAGTGACACTAAGAGAGAAAAACGTCTTTGCATAGAGTTGTGATATGTTTTATAAATACAAACGTGACTTGAATTGTTGTGGTGAATCTATTAAATGTACAGAAATGAGGAATTCTAAGTGGTTGCCACTGTAACTTTTTTACGATGTGCTTTAGAATCATAAGCAGAAATTATATTCTTGCCTTACTGGGATTTTACTGGTTAATTTTTATATTGTACAGAAACTTTTTTTGAAAATGTTCTTCACATCAGATACTCGCCTTCATTTGTGTCAGGATCACCCTCCTCTACCGCCCTGGGCCAGATCTCTTGGGAGTAATGACACAAGTTGGGTGAGGGGTTTTAAGCTTTTCCTATTTTAGAAAACTGAACTGATAGGAATTAAGTTGGTAAGTGCTGCTTTGCCTGGAAGGCTAGAAATCATTCTTTGTAAATCATCAGCTCAGTGTTGCCTAAATACTCCCTGCACCAAACACTGCAGAGGGTAGAACCGGTGGCCAAGAACAGATGTATTCTCCTGGGGAGAGAGTCAAAGAGTAAAAAAGGAGGAAAAAAAATTAAAAAAAAAAAAAAGAACCTGGGATTGGAAAGCCTGAGCACTTTATGGCTGATAAATCAAAGAAGTGGTAGTGTGTGCTAGAGGAATGGTCACCGACCCGGTTTAAACTGTGTCTGTTACATTTTCATGGATGCTTTGAACATGTCCTCAACTGTTCTTGGGACATCCTGTTTTCAAAACCTTTCATGCCGTAGCCACAGTCCTGTGCTCAGCCTGTCCATGCCTTTCTGGACCTGAGCCCCTTGTCCTCAGGCACTGCCAAACAAGGGACTATGATACTGACCTCCAACACTAAACCTTTGAGTGCAAAGTAAACTTCTCGCATCAGCTCACTAATGATGTAGTTCCACTATTGTGTATTACCTGTTTGTTCCACATGCACAGTCCACATGTACACGCAGTAATCCTATGCCCAGGGTTGTATTTCTTTTGATCACTTGTATTTTGTATTTCTCTTTCTAAAAACTTGGGTTTCTTTCTGAAAGAAGTGCATAAAGGATGTGGCTAACACTGATACTGCAATAAAATTTCATTCCAGAACGTACAAAATTATTGCTTCAAGTTAATACAGAGACTTGCGAGGGCTGCATCTCCTGGCTGGAGCACTGCAGTGTCTGAAATTTAACCGTGTTTATTCAAGTCATTCAGGTAAAACTTTTTATAAAGCTATTAATTATAATAAAGTTCAATTATGATTTTATTAAGTAACTTTTCCTGAAATTTTATGATAACATTCCTTACAGCTTTCTGTCTTTCCTGGCCTTTAAAATCTGATTTTCATAAAGTCGAAGGGAATTTATTCAGTTCTTTTAACTCTTGAAGAGGTGAAACAAGCACAAATTTGGTCTGGAACGGTTGGGGGGAGCTGCGTACGAGCATACACACACATTTACAGGTAACTTCACAACTGCTCATTCTTGAAAAACTACTGGTATGTGTTATTTTCAGATGAAAGCACTTGTCAGAAATTTTACTGTTTCTGTTAAACCTTTCATGTGGATGTGTTGTGGTGAAACAAACAGGCAAGGATGGGATTTCTGACCTGGGGCTGTCTGTGTGGTGTTGGGGTGCGAAG